TAATCCTTTATATGACGATGACGGACGTTTGATTGGCGTTATTTGCGTCTCAAGTGATTCACGACCCTTCCTTGAAGTGAGAGTTCCGTTCTCAGGAGTAAGCAATTTGAAACAGGTTCAGGCTCCACCAATCTTAGAAGTAGCATCACAATAAACTTGGTCTCGATTCTCAACAGCCTCTTCAAGTTGGTATAGCATCAAAAATTACAAATTTGGTTAGTCTACAACTTTTTCTTTAAATGTTTCTTTTATTTAGCCTAGCATGGCATGTTTTGATGTGAAAACCATTATAATAGGCCTCCAAGGTAAGTAACAAAGTGAAGTCAAGAATCCGAACAGGAGATATAATGTGGATCGTGAAGGTGGGAGTGGTGAAAGTCATCATTCTGAGCCTGGCTTCTCAGAGTCGGTTCCTTCAGACCAGAGAGAAGATGCTAATTCAAGTGGAGCTAGCACACCCAGGGGAGATGTGCCCCCCTCTCCCTTTGGCGTTATTTCTCACACAGAAGACAAAAGTCAAGGAAAAAATTTAAGAGATTCTGGTGATGAGGGTGAAGGAAAACCTATGCATAAAGTCTTAACTTCCAAGGCTGAAGCATGGATTCAAAGGAAAACGATATCATGGCCATGGAAAGCAAATGAGCGGGATGGGTCAGAGGGAAGGAACGTCCGTGTTGGTTGGCCGTGGTTGCAGAATGATCAAGAAAATGAGCCAGCTCAGCGGAAGCCTCCTTCTTCTTGTGTGAGGCCAGAAAGTCAGGCAGGAGAAGGTAATCGACCTGTTACTAATGAAGCATCAGGATCCTGGTCCTCCTTCAATGTTAACAGCACAAGTAGTGCAAGCAGCTGTGGGAGTGGCAGCAGTGCTGTCAATAATAAATTGGACATGGATACTGATTGTTTGGATTATGAAATCTTGTGGGAAGACCTGACAATTGGAGAACAAATTGGGCAAGGTAGTTTTTTTTTTTTTTTTTAAATTTTTTTTAAGCGCCAAACAGGCATGCTTTGGGATTGCATATAAACTTGGAGCATTGTCTATATTTCAAGTTTCTTATTACCAAAATCTGACTGCTTTGCAAACGTAACCAGTTATCAGTGTGGCTATCATTCATAGAATTTGTTATTTTTATTATTTCATCTACCATACTTTACTGATGCCATCATTCTTTCCTCGTAAATTTGATGTAAGGTTTTGCTTATTATGTTGTTTCCATTTCCCATTTACCTTTTTGCTGTTGTTGTGCAGGATCATGTGGAACTGTGTATCATGCTCTGTGGTATGGATCAGTATGTTCTCTGCTCTTCCTGCTAATTATAGTTTTAAGTTCATATGCTACTTACAAAAAGGATATTGAAATAACCAGTGGCCGTCGCTATGTTTGAGAATTCTCTTTTGCTTCTTTCTGTTGTCCACTTTTTGTGGGTTAACCACGTGTTTAAGGTTTTCTTTTATATTACACAAATTATGATTAGGTTGCAACTCAGATTACTAGCATGTGCAATAATATTTTGAATTTCGAATATTTCAATATGAGATAAAGCATGTCGGGAAGGAAGCAATATGTTCATGGCAAATGCAAGCCTGAGGAAACGCTAGAGTTTCATTTGGGATGTGTCTTTTCTGCGGTGACAAACCAAATATTGCTGACTAATAAGTGATGCCAATTAACACCCACATTTCCGCAGGATGTTGCGGTCAAGGTATTCTCCAAGCAAGAATATTCAGATGATGTAATTATGTCCTTCAGACAAGAGGTATGCTTTCAGGCAGTCAAAATTTTTTAAAAAGGAAAAAAATTCAGCTGCTAATGTACCATGGAGAGACATACCAATTAGAATGTGCTAGGCTTTCCATGGAGGATGTTAGTTTGATGATATTTGCTTGATGATTGTCTTCGCCATTTTGTTATTGACGCACTAAACCACATCCATGTTAGGTTTCAGGGTGATGGTTTCTAAATATGTGAAACTTGTTCCTTCCACCAACAACAATAACCGCATGGCTTCATTGAATTTAATTATGTTTGATAAGGACCGTTAATTATCTGTTGACCAAAGAAGGATCAATGTGGTTTAACTTACTAGCTTTAAATATATCGCTGAGGCAGCATTTGCACGTTATAGTTTGGTGCTCTAATATGGATATTATATTATGAGCAGATGTTGTGGAACCAAAAGGCTAGAGTGCACTTATTATGGTGGCCATAATATGAGCAGTTGAATAGGTGAAGCTTGATTAGCCCTAGAGACGTGAGTAAAGATAACCAAAGTGGAAGTAAGCTAACATGTGAAACATTTTTCACAACCCAGCACGCATGATTGATTCTTTGAAAGAGGTTTCACGGCATATAGTAACTCTTTTGGAGGACCTCAAAGCAAAATACATAAAAATTCCACCTAATTTATTCCCTCTTTAATTGAAAGACTTTGCAAAACTAATAAGTTGAATTTTACATGAACCAAATAAGTTACTGAGTGGAGCCATAGTTCTCTGGAATTGTTATTTCTTAGACTGTGACCAGTGTGGAATAGTTTATGCAAGAGACTGTTATTCCAGTTCATTAGTCCTCTCTGTGATTTATTTTCTTGTATTTATATTCTGCTCTTATTCTACTATATTTGTACCTCAGAGTGCTGAGCCTCCGTCCTAAACAATTCATCATTATATAACACTAATTTGATGATGCTGTTGATATGAAGGTATCTGTTATGAAGAGACTTAGGCATCCAAATGTCCTTCTGTTCATGGGGGCAGTAACTTCACCTCAACGTCTCTGCATTGTGACTGAGTTTCTCCCACGGTTAGTTCAGAAGTTTTTTTTTTTTTTTTTTAAATCACTTAGTTACAAAGTGCCAAGTCCGGCTAATTATTCTTGTATTAATCTGTAATTCTTTTCAGTGGAAGCTTGTTTCGCTTACTCCAGAGAAACACAGCCAAACTTGACTGGAGACGGCGTGTCCATATGGCTTTAGATATTGTAAGTATTTTTTTGGCAATATTATGGAGAAAATGTCTCATTCAAGTTTTGTTGATATAGCTGCATGTTCATTTTTTCCCCTATTTTTTCTTTTTATATTAGAAATTCATTTTTGACTTTTTCTTGCTTTAATTGAAGATATGATCTAATTTTATCCTTTCTGTAGGCTCGGGGTGTAAACTATCTTCATCATTGTAGCCCACCTATCATTCATCGAGATTTGAAATCTTCAAATCTTCTAGTTGACAAGAACTGGACTGTTAAGGTCAGCTTCTTGTAATTTTTCTATCTATTCTCCATTTGTTAGGTTGTAGACTCTCTTTTGATTGCTTGAAGATTTCTAGGATTATATCTTGTTTAGGTAGATAATATCTTAACCATGTACTAGCTGAACAGGTCGGTGATTTTGGCCTTTCGCGCCTCAAGCATGAAACATATCTCACAACAAAGACTGGAAAGGGCACGGTAGGTTCACATATCTTATTCGTTGACCACAAGATATTTTTGTTTGAATTCCTTTTTTTTTCTCCACATAAACAAAAAAGTTCCTGATTCTTGCATTTTCTGCTTTGCAGCCTCAATGGATGGCACCAGAAGTTCTTCGTAATGAGCCATCTGATGAGAAGTATGTTTGATCTTTACCCTTGGGTATTCTCTTTCTCCCCACTGAACTTATGGATTTTGAATACTTTATATTTTCTTCTTCTTGGGGACATCAGGTCTGATGTATACAGCTTTGGAGTGATATTGTGGGAACTTACAACTGAGAAGATCCCTTGGGAGAGTCTCAACTCAATGCAGGTATAGTTTTCATGAATATGTGATTAATAAGGTGGCATATAAGATTGTCGAACTGAAAACCTCCGAAAGTGTTTGTCTCATATGGTTGGAAAATCCACTTACATCAGGTATTCGAGCCCTTGAAGATATGTGAATCTTCGAATCGTTTTGTTACTTTGTCACTCATTTGCTTGCTGAATAACAAATTTTATTTGACAGGCCAAGGGACATGCATTTTTTATTAGAAAGAATCTTATAAGAAGAAGTTTGAAATTACTAAACCCCAGATAAAGAATTTCTACAAAAATGTGTTATCATTTGCCAGTCCAGTGTTGTCAAAACCTATTAAAGTGTTGTTACCAAATTTGATTTGAAATTTAGTAATTTCAAGTTTCTTTTTATGGGATTTGTCTTTTTTATTATTAATAATTTGTTTCCCGCTTCCTTCTGATATTTCATTCCTTTAATTTTTCATATTCATTTTTGTAGCAGTCATATTATGGTGGGTCCAAATATGAACAATGGTTTGTCTAGGATACTTGCAGGTGATTGGAGCTGTTGGCTTCATGAACCAGCGGCTAGAAATTCCAAAGGATGTTGATCCCAAGTGGGCTGCTATAATTGAGAGCTGCTGGCATAGGTGTGTTTCCTGGTCGTTCTGTCATACTAGTTTATATCTTTTTCTGCAGCTCAATATGTACACGCATAAATCTTATTCCACTTGCAAAGTCAATGATCAGTTAAAATGATTTGTGTCCTACTGTTGGCCAGCGTGCCTATGCGAATTTCATAAGATCAGCTGTTTGGGATATTCATCAAGCATTTATATTTTGATTTTCTTCTTAATATCTTTAGCATCTCTCAACATCTTTACCCATTTGAACCTTATCATTCATACTTTGATTACATTTTATCACAAAATTGAGATCCAAAGAGCTTTTGCTTGAGCTAGTGTTAGACACATATATAGATACACACACACACACACTTTGATTACATTTTATCACAAAATTGAGATCCAAAGAGCTTTTGCTTGAGCTAGTGTTACACACACACACACACACACACACACCGATGGTTGTTCCATAGTTACTGACATATACAGTTTCTACTTTTTCACTCTTTACCTAAAATACTTGCAGTAGCCCAAAATTCATTTTGGTAATCTGGTTTATGACAATTGACAACTTAACAATTTCATCAGTTGACTTCACAATGTTTTGTTGGGTTACATAACAGTACTAAGTGATGGGAAACACATAGTTCATCTATTTTTCTACTTCTTTTTCTCAGTCTGAAGTTTTGTTCTTTCAACCTTAGTATGGGCTTCATTTAAGAACGATCACATATTTGATGGTGTTGATGCTTAGAGGGGGACAAGTTCACCTTTTTAAGATAAGTTATTTATTAAATAATCTAATGGCCAACAAATAGAGAGACAACCTTGCAACTATATTTGCTCTTATAATTTTGAAGGGTGCAAAAATGTTGCTTGTGTGCTGTTGATAGCAAGATTCAAATTCTCCCTTCCTTTTTTGGGCATTATAGGACTTTCCTCATCTTCCATGTCTTGTCCCCCGAAAATCTACTGTCCTTCAGTTTACTATTTAATTTTGGTCAGCTAAAGTTGTCAGCAGCACACATGCATGTATGGTGTGTTTATGTATATGATATACTCACTTCTGAATTACTCTAACTGGTATTATTTTGCTCGACTCTGACTTAGTATGAACTTTTGAAGGAATCATATTTTTCTTTAGTCACTTGTTTGGTCTCTAGTTATAAAAAGCATAAAAGAAAAGGTGGGAATTATGCATCGTGGATGCACAAGGTATCAAAATTTTTCTCATTCTGTGAAAAAATGAATTGACACACCAGAAAGTTAGCACGCCAACTCTAATTTACATTAGTGGTTGTAAGTCATATCCCTATTATAACTGTCATATAAATAGGACATTGAACAAGGCACATACTCTATTATGCACTATAGCACAATTGGATAAATGTAGTATTATATGGGGTCTTTATGATTTGGCTCTACTAGTGCATAGATGATGTGACTCACCTAGTTGTAGGCAAGAATTTCTGCGGGAACACGTTGCCATCGCTGATATCTTTCACTGACTTGTATCTTTGTTCATTCCCACCAGTGATCCAGCCTGCCGGCCAACGTTTCAGGAACTGCTAGAAAGGCTTCGAGAGCTGCAAAGACGTTATGCCCTTCAATTTCAAGCTGCTCGTTCTGCTGGTGTTGAAAACACTCAAAAGGAGTCCTAAACACGGCCTTTGACCTTCTTTTCTTTTATTCGCCTGCAGCCGACATAATGATTTTTTTGCATACCTTTTTACCAGTTTCTGGTAAGCAGTTGAATTGACACGAACGGGGCCCGGCTTGAAGTTGGAACCATACCAAAGTGCTGATCGGAATTGTGGCTCTTCACCATTTGCGGTAGAACTTAAAAGGGGACAACATTGAAAAATGAAAGAAAGTGGAGCTTGACGACGATGATGATTGGTATAATCACGTTTTGTCTCTTCAATGGCATCAATGATCTTCAATTTGTTAGTAGTGCTGAATGCTTGGAGCCATACCAAATGGGATTGATTGTGACCTTTATTGTGATCCTAGACGGAGAATTTAGGTGCTATTAAAGAATTTGTACAGGAGGCAGAGAAGGCAAAAACTTCGAGTTTTGATTGGACGAAAGGGATTAGGATCCGAGAAGTTTCTTCCCTTCATATTCTTTGTTAATCATGGTTGGAGTTTTGTAATTATCCACTGGAATCGACAAGGTGCGGCTTAGCATGTCAGATTCATGATTTGATTAGTCCGTTCTAAACTAGTAAGTGTGATTTTCGTACGTAGCTCCACTCCCTTTATTTTCACTCACAAGTGGCACAATTTTGTGCACGAACAAGGGGAAAAGAACAGGACCAGTTGCTGCCAATATCAGTTGAAGTTTTTTGGGCCCCCCCCCCCCAAACAAAAAAAAAAAAAGTATGGCTGGGTATCACTTAAAATCTCCTATTTCTCCCTTTCCGTGGTCAAAGTTATATGTCATATTTGGGTGGTTCCTTTCCGTGATATGCCATGAGCGCCTTATTTAATGTATTTTAAATCAACATTTAATCAGCGTTTGAGGTAAATTTGAAGGAAGGTGTGAATATTGTTTTAATTTTCTTATGCTACATAATAATTTGGTATGATATCTTTCAAAAATGACAATAATCCACACTACATAATTTTCACTCAAAATTTTCAATGTTCGTATAAAACTTTTATTTCCAAATTAAAAATTGTAAATATGATTAATAGTTGTTTAAAGTATTGACTATTGTACAATAAATAACTAAAATATTCATCAAACATAAAATATTACATAAATTCAAACTCATGGTTAAAATAATATAAACCAAAAATCATTACGCCAATATTTAAAATAGAATTTATATAAAATCACACTATTAAAAAATTATAAATAGTGCAACTTATTATTCAAATTTTCGACAGTGTGCTTAAAAATGCTTCAATTTTTTTTTTTTAAAAAAAAAGATTTCGGTAAGTTGAGTTCAAAAACTTATCAGGACCAAAGCATTGAGCATAAAAAACTCACAAAATTGTGATAGACAAGAGACAAACTAAAAATGAATTTGACAAAAGAAACTACTAGAAAATCTATCTTCGTGGGTCTCATTTCCATCCTGAATTGGAAGGTAACTAGCAAGTCAAAATAACTTGGGCATACTCTGGAATCTGGACTAACAGTTCCTATGAACTGTGGACGAGCAGTTCGCTCGTCTCATCACCTTGCCTTCCTTCCCCCCCCCCCCAATTGGTTCACTCCGGACTTGACCCAAAACTCCCATTTTCCCCTTTGTCTTTGTTGGACTGCTTTATTGCCTATTTGCCTTTTTAACGTGCATATGATCATGGAAGATAGATACAGACAAGAGGAGCCAGCCACTAAGCCCCAACTTGTGCAGGCAACTTGTAGAATCAACAACTTCAGTGGCGTAAAAATTTCCAACCTGTGACTGGAATGATGGAGAGTTATAGAGCTTTAGCGCTTGCAAACTTAACTTTCCAACAGGGACAAAAAACAACTGCACAAAGACTCCACCCGCTGGCAGTGCTTCTCCTTTTTTCTTCCTCTTCTTTTTAACTACCTTCCAATGGCGTGTTTTGTATTGCATGTAAACTTCAATAAAATGTATAATTTCTAGTTTGCACATTATGGCATCCAGTAAGCGTCCGTTTTCCCACAGGAAAGCCGTTTGTTTTGAGTCTGAAAATTGGTAAATAAACCATGCACGAAACTCGGACCAAAAAAGAAGTAACTTGGACAAAAGTTTCAATACACAGCGGATCTTTCAGACTTTCACCCGAAAACACAGTTCCTACAGCTCATGCAAAAATCTAATTTGCCCGAAAAAAATATAAGTATAAAAATTCTGAATAGATCTGACTTTTGATGGTATACATTTGAGGATCCAAATTTCGACACAAATATCTAGCGAAGCAAATGCCTAATAGCAGCAACAGCATCGCCTTTATGCTCACGCAAGGTTCTTTCAGCCACCTTTTTGTCCAGCTGTCAAAGGCATTAAAAGCGTCACCAGTCTATCCTAAACATGAATAAGCTTCCAAAAGTTGTGACGCTTAAGTTCAAGATAAGTTACCTCTAGTTCATTTGCGATTATGTCAACATCAGCTGCATTTATCTTAACAGCAGCCAGTTCCTTCTCCCTGGTAATGAAACAAGATGGAAGATTGGAAGTTGAGATTTAAGATATAGAAAAATTGACTGACAAAGAGACTTATATTGCAAACGACTAAATTGGTGGTGAGAGGATACAGTAACGAAATTTGAACATAAGCTAATAGTTCAGATTTGCACAGTCAATGATGTGGTAAGTTGTTCAGCATGATATTAGCGGTTAAAGGGAAAGATATACTTGCATAAAGAATGCGAGTTATTTAACTGAAGATTTCAGTCTAAACATGGAAACAAAAGAAGAGACATGTGTGCAGGTTACATAGAGCAGAGATCGGCTACTACGATTTAATGAACCGCAATAAGTATCAGTCTTTATTGCACAATGAACTTTGGGATTTAGAATTGATACACTTCCGACACTTTTAAAGTTCTTTTGCCAAGTACATAAGGTGAGGAATTGCTAAGATGATAAGATCTGTGTTACACAAACTTATTTCACATTATCAAATCTAAATTGGTTTAAGCATGCTTGTATTACGGCCCCCATACTAGGGGGCTGAGGAGAATGCATATGCTTATGATGAGCTTTTACTTCCCCCAATGAGAACTTGTAAATTATAACCTCAAATTAATGTCAGCATCAGATAAAAAGCCAATCGCCTGGGAATTTAAGAAAATAATCTGCATGTTCTGATTGAGATTCTGACGATTGAAATTTCTATCACCTGAACATGGGTTTTGGCTTCGCTGTGTCTGTATCTATAAACATGTACATACATATATATAATCATGTGCATTTTTGCTATAATAAATTAATGATATCTTGAGGATTGTAATATTTTCCCAGATTTTTGCAAAGTGTTTGCATAAAGCTGGGAAAGAAAATAGCCAAGAGAATCCAAGATTGGGCTGAAGAATAATCAATATGGTTTGACAGCTGTTGGCTAAGTCCAATAGATGCCAAAGACAAAACCCTTTTCAACATTAAAAGGCGAGGATTTACAGCTGCTCGCTAAGTCTAATAGATGATCTTATATCCTAGAAGGAAAACAGACACACATACAGGAGCCTCTTTAAAAATTCACTGAGAATAAAAATAAATGTTCAAGAAATAAAATGTGCAAGAATATAATTATATTGGGATTTCTAGAAGTCCAAAATTTGAAAGAGTCCAAGTCTCTAGATTTCCATTCTATAACTGGCGATAACTTCCATTAGATAAATGAAAAATTTTCTGTTACGATAAAATTAGCTAGTAAAAATTCAAGATACTAGTATAACAGCAGCAAATCATGTTGTATTACTGAAAACAACATACGACACTAGGGTACATAAAAGCAAGTAATGCGAATATAGAACATAGGTAATAATAATACAAGCCTAATGAGAACTGAATATTCTAATAAAGATGGATTTTCGTGAAATTTCTCATCCCCCCCGGGGGGGGGGGGGAATCTCCCATCCTTTTCTTTTTATTCCCCAAGTACAATATTATGGTCGCAAATGTGACAAAAGAAGGTTTTCCCATTATATGAGCAATTAAAAGGAGAAGTTGGGGGCACTTCATTTATTAGAGAGCAAAGCATATGCTTCCCCTAATTTCAGACTCCACCACAGTTTGACGCTTTTAAGGGCAGGAATAATGCATAATTTTCAGAAGGTTAAATGAACTTTGAAGCCGCAGAAATATGTTCAGGAAGTCTTCATAGCTTTATATGACAAACAAGCCGTGCAAGGCCATGCCCAAACAGCAGAACACGAATGACAGCCCAAACATTACAATGTTAGTCATTGCAAAAACGTACTCACTAATTTAAACCGTTTTCTGGAAAAATAACAAGCTCAAAAGATTCCTATCTACCTCAAACGCATCGCATTCCAGTCCGCTTCTGCAGATGCAGCAATTGAAGCCATAGCCTGACAAATCACAAAACTGTTAGAGAGCATCGCATGAAACTGCTTAATTGGAACGCACTGCCTTAATCATTATATGCCAAGCCTCCATCAATCAATTTAATAACAAATTCTTACAATTTTTTCTTTCTCAGGAAAAAAAAAAATACAACAGAATAAAAGAGTAAATATTAAAGAGACCGGGAGGGACCTCCTGGACGCGAGTGGAGTCGAGCTGGCGATCCTCGACGCGGTCAGTGAGCTTATCAAACGCTTTGCTCTGTTGCTGTAAGTCCTTGGAATCCTCTATCCTCTCTACTCCCTCATCTGCAGCCTCCATCTTTACTCTTTCAAGCTTTTTTGGGACAAAAGTTCCTTAGAGAAATTCGAGACAGAAAACACAGAAGTATCGATTGCGAGTAGATTTCTATGCCCTAAGAGTAGAAAAAGCTCGACACTTAATTGATGGTCTGAAGGACTGCGATAGGGGAACACCACCAGCGGGGAAGAACCCAAAGGATGAGCCGCCTGAGCCTCGAAACTGTAGGAGGCACCTTCCCTGCGTTGCGTTGGATGATGTGTTGATGTTGCCTTATTGGACCAACCGTGGAAGATTTGGAAGTTGGGCTTTTTGGACTCGGATCTCAGAAAAGCTACCTTCAAAATTGGGCCTTTGAAACTCTTCATTTTGCTTTTGAAAAGAGACTGAGGCCCAGTCTTAACAAGGCATAGATAATACTATAATAATAGAGTGCATTATTTTTCTGGATGTAAACTTGTTCTAAAAATTTAAAATCCTAGTAATATTGTCTTTTGCTATTAAAAAAATTAATATTGACTGCTAAAATAGTGATATTGGCTGTTAACATTTTTAACAGGAAAAAAAATATTATTATGATTTTAAATTTTTAGAACAAATTTGCATCGTGGTCTAATAACGAGGAAATCATAAATTATATTTTAGATTATGGGAAAAAGAACCGCAAGAGTCATATTTTCATGATCTTCAACTCATAATATAGTTGCATTTTTCAAGGAATATATGAGTGGACATATAGGTGATAGACATCCAAATAAAATACTTTGTATTCATAACACTTTTTTCCCATGAGTTTTGTTACTCAATTATTATTGGAATGACATTGAATTTCAGCAAAATTTGCTACGTGCACGGATCTCGTAATTGAAAATTGGCTGCATCCTCAACTAAGAATTTAAATGTTTCACCAACTTGGTAAGCAATTTGAATTAATTCCTTGGACAGAGAGGGTATGACGTTCAAATAATTATCATAGATATAGAAGCAAGTCTGTATTAGAAGTTGAAACTTGCATAAGTTGTGCACTGCCAGTTATTAGCACTTGAAGTATTTGAGAGAAGAGACAAAGTTTTGTTAGGAGTTCATCGGGCTACTATAAAATCTGTCTTTTAATCCAGTTCGGGATGAGGACAATTAGGAGTTTAGCAGTCTCGATCACAGAAAAAGAGATCTCAACGGAATGCATTAATGGTTAAACGATCTACGGCTTCGTATCATTATAAATACGAGTGATGATTGCCAGGCTATAATTCGCCCACATAAAGCGTTCGATATCGAGCTTTATATACTTTGTTTTTTCTAATTAAAGATAAAGATGAGGAATGTTCTGAGTGCGACTCTTCTGGTGCTGATATTAATGGTGATTGTAGGAATATCCGAGGGTCGAAGAATCAAACTTGGCGAGCTTCATGGCAATGAAGGCGAGACTCCTGGTTATGGAAGCTACGGTAACGGCAGTTCGGGCGGGTATGGTAGTGGCTATGGAAGTGGAGAAGGAGGGGGAAGTGGAGAAGGTTACGCGGGTGGGGGTAAGGGAGAAGGAGAAGGCTGTGGAAAAGGAGAAGGAAGCGGAGGAGGATATGCCGGAGGTGGCGGAGGGGAAGGAGAAGGTTGTGGAAAAGGAGAAGGAAGTGGAGGTGGTTATGCCGGAGGAGGAGAGGGTTGTGGAAAAGGAGAAGGAGGCGGAGGAGGATATGGCGGAGGGGGTGAAGGAGAAGGAAGCGGAAGAGGATATGGTGGAGGAGGAAAAGGAAGCGGAGGAGGATATGGCGGAGGTGGTGAAGGAGAAGGAGAAGGCTGTGGAAGTGGAGGGTACGCCGGAGGGGGCAAGGGAGAAGGAGAAGGCTGTGGCAGTGGAGAAGGAAGTGGAGGGGGTTACGCCGGAGGCGGCGGAGAAGGAGAAGGTTGTGGAGGAGACAAGGCGGGAGGCGGTAAGGGAAAAGGCTGTGGAAGTGGAGAAGGAGGTGGAGAAGGGTACGCGGGAGGGGGTGATGAAGGAGGAAAAGGCTGTGGCTGTGAAGGAGGATCAAGCGAAGGAACAGGTTGTGATTGTGGAGGAGGTTATGCCGGTGGAGGTGGTGATAAAGGTGGAAGTGGAGGAAGTTACGAGGGAGGAGGAGATGGTAACTACGGAGGTGGATCTAGTGGCGGGGACAGCGGCGGAGACGACAGTTGTGGTGATCAAAATGGGGACACCGGAGGCAGTGGGGGATTAGGTATAAGTATCTCCATCGGTGGAAACTGTGGTAGCAATTGCACCGGCGACAGCGGTGGAGGAGTCTACAACGTTACCGCCGGACCAGTTGGCGGAGATTAAGTTTTGAACAAAATCGTCAAATTATTCCCATAATCATTGAGTTTGTGTGTGAAATTATAAATATAAATGAATAAAGGATGAATATAATGTACGTTCTGATAAAGTATTTAAGAGGGGATAGCTCGATTTGAAAAAGATAAAGAGAGCATGAGAACTCGATAAAAGAGAAGTGGAGTCCGCATATATCCACTTCTGCTTTGATCTGCCATTGTTCTCTTGGTTCTTGTATTACAAGTTCACAGCATGCTTGACTACTGTGTATTGTATTGATGAGTCTAAAAGTCCCATAGTTTTAGATTGGAATAAACGTTTAAGTTTGGCTAATTATTTAATTCTTATCGAGGTGCACGATGCCCACAAGCATATAGTAATTTCGATTTGCAATTTTACTTGCCCATAATGCTGATCTGCAATTTCAAGCTTTATTTGATGCGAATAGCAGTAATAAAGGAATATATATAATCCAACAGGGGTCTGTTACTCTCTAATATATATATTAGTGCAGATCAAAGTTTTTTTTAGGACATTAAATGAACAAAAAATTTTGTCATGATATGTAGGAAATGCGATGTGCAGTCCATCACAAATTAAATTCTAAACAAATTTTCTTAATTTTCATCACAAATTCTATTTTTTTTATTGTACTAAAGATCTTATTTATAGTTTACAAACGAGGCCTTATAAATAATATCAGAAGTAGTAGTTTAGAAGATTTCAACAAACCCAGTGGAATATATCTACACAACCGCAGGCTCCTGCACTCGTATTTCACACATGCATGGCTAACTTTAATTAGAACTACAAAGTACAAACCATAAGTTGAGCTTCCCCCTTACCAGCTTTGTGCATAAGCGATTCAAAACTGCCACAGCTATGGACACTTTATTATAAAGAAGTTCTAAGATAGAAAAATAATTATTAAAAAATTCTTATAACAATCTAAATAGCTTGTAATGATAAGTTTCAGGATAGAAAATGATAGTTTTTGAAATTTATTTTGTAATTATTTTTTTTTTAGGACTTGTAGTTCTCAATTTTTTAAATTAGTTTTTTAAAGAAATACACACGCATTATCTAAACTTATAAAACACTTTTGTTAATTAATTTACATACACTTTCTTTTCATATTTACCCTTATTTATTCTTAGTTTTTGATACTCACTGAAAGCCTTTTCGGGGAAATATTATAAATTATACTTTGAAAAATAGAAAAAAAGATCTTATATTTATGAATGGAGAAGTATTACTTACAAAAAAAAATTCATTATAATTTTAATGGATGAAGTATAGAGTACTACTTATTGTCCTTAATATAAAAATTCATTTAATATGGTCTTAAATATAACATCCCAATTTGCTTTATCTATCATATTTATTTATTTTTTCTCAAAATAACCATTGTAATAGTTGCACATGTTAAAAGTTTCATCAAATAATAGTTATAGCTAACACACATGATTAATAAGGATATTTTAGAGAAGACAATATCTATGTATTGCAAATAACAAACTTAACTAATATTTTTAATCTACTCAAATTAGTCAACTAGCTCTTATATTAAGCACCCAATTAGTATATCATATATAGCTGTGAACACATTATTACGGAAAATCTTACAGAAAATGTTGCCACATTCGTGCAGGGTTTTCACTCTACCCGAAAATGGGATGAACATTTAAATATTTCACCAAACCTGGTAGGTAATTCGATTCAATTCGTTGCACTGATGAGGATCCAAAGATCAACTCTGTGTGCACATATGATTTTCTTTCAAGGCTATGCAGACCTATACAAGTTAAAGGATTAAGGTATACTTTTGTTTCGAAAGCTTTCTCAAAAGGACAATGTCATCTTAAAAGTTTTTTTTTTAATTTAATGATACCTCAACCAATTAACAAAGTTAATGTTAACTGTTTGTAGACTGATTTATGTTGAGGTGGTTAAGTGTCTTTAACGGTAAAAATTAACTTTGTTAACGAATCGAATCAGCAATGTTATGTTTTTAATTTAAACTTCTATGGCAAGCAAAAATTTCCACACAAAATTAGACCTTAAATCTACATTAAATTCTTGTGATCGAAGTTTGGAATGTGAGAACGATTAGAAGTTTAGCAGTACCGATCAGAGAAGAAGAGATCTTAACGAAATGCATTAATGGATATATTAATCGATCTGCACTTAATAAGCGATAGTATAAATACTAGTGATTTTCACCTGGCGAAATTGCCCATCAAGCGTGTGCTTTCGATTTGTAACTATAGTGATATCAACCGTGGCCTTGGGAATATCAGAAGGTATTGGAGCCCAAAACAATACACACAGCCCGCAAGTTTAATGGGCTTTCTTTATATTTTGCCCACCTTGAAATCTTCCTCTCATCGTTCCTGCGTAGCCTCGCAGCAATTGACTTGAAGCCACTCCTCATGTAGCTTACTATTCCAGGGAGGAAGTCCAACGGTGAGCAAGGAGATCGGCCCCCGTTCACGTAGTACACAAATAGATAAGAATCGTCATGTTGTCCATCGACGAAATAAAATCCTTGCAGATATTCTCACCAAACCTCTTCCTTTATCTATATTTGCACTCCTTAGATCAAGTCTTACTGTCCTTCCAGCTATGGGTGTTCATGGACAGGGCTGGGCAGGACATGTTCCTTGCCTGATGTCCGGCCTGAAAAATGAGCGGGCTACAAAACCCTGCCCTGCCCACAGAAGTCCTAACCATTTTCAGGCTGGGCAGGGCGGGCTTCCAAGCCCAAATAGTGATATCTTGGTGAAAATTTTTTTAGTTAAAGTAAGGGTATCTTATAACAACTATAAAAAAATAAATACTTGAATAAACAATAAATTCAACAAATCAATAACTTTGATTTGTCTTAAATTGATATATCTTCTAATATAACACTAAAGTGAGCTTGCTTTTGCATCTTTGCAAGACAACCAACAATAAAAACAAACTAAAAGATACTAAATCACATTAGAAAAAATTAAAAAGATACTAAGAAGGAAGAATTACACATACCACTAAATGTATCTATGGCAAATGGAAGAGGGGAAAATAATATATATTATTATATATATCATATATCATTATGAGTATTTCTGACAAAAAAAAAAAGAATTATAAATATATACATCACGGGCAGGGCCAAATGGGCAGGGCAGCATACTGTGCTCGCAGCCCAGCCCTGCTCATAATATGCCCAGCCCAAAAATATCCATTTTTCTTTGGGCTGTTTTTTTTCCGGGCTGGGCAGGACTATTTTCTCGCGGGCTCGGATGGGTATATTGGGCTAGCGATCTTGATGAACACCCCCTACTTCCAGCACAGTTCAACTCGCGAGAGAAGGCCAAATCAATACAATCAGCCCGCAAGTTTAATGGGCTTTCTGTAGGGCTCTTGTTTCTCTAGTTACTCAGCCATCCTTTATGCGGTCGTATACCACATTTTATCTGACATACTCCAGAACTACGCTGCATATGGTGAGTGTGTGTATATATCTGGTGCAATGCAAATACCGGTTTCTGGGTTGAAATGTTAATGGTGGTGTTGTTTTTGGAAATGAACAGGGTTTCAGAATGCTTCATCGTCTTGTTGTTGGTTGGCGGGGAGGTTCGGAGGGCTGATACCCTGTGGACCGACGTCGAAAGTATGTGCGGATAGATCCAAGCACGTGTTCCGGGATCCTTACCATCCATCTCAAGCTACTAATGAGATCATAGCTAGGCGACTATTGGATGGAGATCTTCCTGATATCTCGCCCATCAATCTTAGCCGCTTCGCTTCTTCTTCTTGACCTCTTCACATTTCTGGAAGAGTTACAGATTCGAAACATCACATCTTTGTTATCCTCTTCCTCATGATTTGTTTCCTTATTATTGAATTACTACTACTAAAAATGAATGAAACAGAATGATTGTAGTATATTATCCACTTAAAGCAATGTTTCTGTATATATCCGACCAAAATAGTACCAGTCAAACGAGTCCAATGCCACTCTCATTCATACATCAAAAGTGGGTGGTCCCACACCAATTGCTAAAAGCCTAAAACGAAGGTCCCACGTTCCGACCACCTTTGTTTTCAGCTTCAGGGAAGGGAACATTTTTCTTTGCCCGATCCGTATCAACCCCAAGCGCCACCTGGCCGGAAAACATTATCTCGTCGACCGCCACCCATCAGCGAGCTAATAGCAAGAGTGTTCGCTGTTTTAGAGTCGATTGGATATGGCTTCATGGCAATTCGATTACGAATTTACGGCCAAGGGATTCAGGGTCATCGTCTCCTTTGCAAGGTTTGTTTTGATTTGTCGTGACTTAGGTCAAGGAATTGGAAGTATTTAAAGATTGATGGATTAAATTAGCATACGATAATTAAACGTGTGAAGGCGCTTAAGCTGCGGCATCAATTCTTTAATATGTTTGTTAATACTATCTCCGTTTCTGATTATAAGAGCTAGTTTACTAATTTAAAAAAATTAAAAAAATAAGTTAAATTAGTTATTTATAATAAATAGGTATTGTTTTTCTTAAAATCCTTGCTAATCAAGTGTGTTGGCTAAAACTACTATTATTAGAAGGACTACTTGAAAAAAATATATATATAACTATGAGAGACAAAGTGAATTAGGGTCTTATAATTAAGATCAAACTAAAAGTTAAACAAAATCTTATATTAAAAACTGGATGTAGTAATTATTGACTCTTTACTTCATGTTTTTATCTCTATTTTTTTATTTTGGGGTTAAAGTCACTTCTACTTTTTCATTGCATCTCACAGGTACTTTAGTTAATAGCACCTGTTTGCCTTATGCCTATAATGAAGCGAAACGATGCTTCTGAGTTCTGACGCAGAATAAACTGGGAAGAAACAGAAGGTGCTCGTTCTAGGGTTACTCCCATATGTTTTTTTAATGGCTAATAATTTAGCGATTAGCGACCTGAATTTACATGTTCCTTCTGGCCTGGTTTTGTTCCTTCAGTGCTGAAATATCAGTTAAAAAACCACCATTCGAAAATGTACTGGAAATTTTGCTCAAAAAAAAAAGAGAAGAAAATGTACTGGAAATGATACAATACTCATTTACTCCTGGGCCACTAAATATGATAGAAAACAGATTCAAGAATGTGAAATTTTCTAATTTAAGGTGCTGATGATGATGACTAGTATAGGCAGAAGGCTGATGATACTTGTATATATCTTGAATAATTCTTCATATGACTTTGGGAAATCTCTTAAAATCTAAAACTTGGAAACAACGCAGACAGAGTTATCCCATCTAGTTACAGGAAGAAAAAAAATTAGAAACTCACGCATACAGTAGAAGAGGTATATGGTAGCTGTTGAAAAGAAAACTTGAGTTTACTGTCAACCTTATTTTTTTACAGTTCGGTGCAGGACAGAGAGCATTCAATGTCAAGCAGGAATTTGCCCAACTTGACATACAGTGGGAGCCAGAATTAAATGAGCTCTTTCATTTTGATTCTTTTTAAAGGAAAAAAAATATTTGAAGAAGCTCTGGCATATTAACTATTCACGTTTCATGTTTAATAATGTTACCCCTTTTCATTTAATGACTTCTACCCGTACAAAAAAAACAAGGAGTAAATTTTGATGTGGCTGACTAAGGTGGTAACTAGTAAAAAGGCATCATCTAAAAATATTTATTCGATTATCCACAACATTATTTTATTATTAATGGAATGGTTTTTTTTTTTTAATGATTAGCTTATAGAAGAAGGAAAATTACTGAGGCAATAAGTAATTGTGGTGAATGAAATGGTATTATATATGCATATCTTCTTTTCAAAACCGTACAATAAAATATTCTCACAACACTCTTACAACTATACTGAAAGGAAATTTATCAATTTCCGTTTAACACTTAAATCCTCTGCAATTGTGTTCACTTGAATTGAAAGGCAGTTACATTTTCAGGTGATGAGCTAGAGACAATTACTTCTTTAATGAGAGCATGTTTTTGAACAAGTTCTTTAGTTAGTACACTTTGATAAAATAAGTTTACATTATGTTTTGCTTGTTGGGTCGACTAGCTCTGATGTTAGATGCATGGCTTCAAAAAAAGGTATGGCCTGTCTTGTTTTGGTTGGCTCAATAACGTCATTGTACTAATTTATGAGTGTGTTCCATGTATGTCCTCTTTTTAGTGCTTTAAGGTTTTCCCCATGTTTATTGCTAGCTAATTGAAGGACGTCAATATGTAACAATCTGCCTGGTTCGTTTCCATCCAAGTAAGTAAATCAGATAAGATGAAAATGATGAAACTAAGACCTCCACATTTATGGATTCTAACATTTAAAGGCTTTGGTAGCCCGGCAGAGAAGCTGCTGAAGGTTCAAGTTGCAACTTGAAACCAACCAAAGCCTTTAAATGTTAGAATCCATAAATGTGGAGGTCTTGTTTACCAGGGCTACTTATGGCTCTTGCACTGCCAACTCAGGAGGACCTAAATAATAACTTGAATCTGCATGAACAAGAGGCGGTGTTATTTATGTGATTCAGCCTTTGTATAGGTGAGATGTAAACGAAAGGCCAACGTTAAAAAAGTTTCAGATTCTTTTTATTTTCTCATCATTGACTCATCTTACCTTTCTAACGCTTATTTCCTACACATTCTCCCATTGCTCGAGTTAAACACATTGTCCCATCTATTTATATCAAATCAAAGGCTTGGTGTTCCAGCATAGGATTTTTTTTATTTATTTATTGTAACCTGCCGTCTCATCTTACTACAAGCAAACATTCTTCTTTAGCTCATACTGCTTCCCATTCAATATTTAGTTGTTCCTGAGACCTTTTGAAGCACCAGTCCCTTCATTAAAATTTGATTCGTTTGATTCTCTATGAAGTGGTTTCTGATGGTTATTGATTTGAAAAAACCAGTCGTTCTTGGGGTCACATTGCAATTTTTGACAAGTTTCCTGCTTTTTAGGATTTGCTTTTCGAATAATGTTCCTGCATCTTTTGTGTTTGGGGACTCTTTGCTCGATCCGGGTAACAACAACTACATTGCTTCACTCTCCAGGGCAAACTACGTCCCCAATGGAATTGATTTTGGATGGCCCTCAGGACGTTTCACAAATGGAAGAACCATAGTGGACATCTTAGGCAAGATTTGCTTACTTTTACATTTCTGCATTTTCCTTTTTCTTTAAATAAATATTTAGCCCATTTCAAGTCTTTGGCTGAAATAAGCCAACTAATTACTGTTTCTCTTTTCTCTTCCAATCATGTGTGCCATCAGGCCATCAATTGGGTCTTGATTTCACCCCTCCTTACTTGGCTCCAAGTACAAGAGGATCAGTGATTCTTAAGGGAGTAAATTATGCTTCCGGTGGAGGTGGGATTTTGAATCACACTGGAAAAATTTTTGTAAGTGTAATTTCTTCCTCAAAAATGGAAGGAATAACTTCAAGTTCGGAATTTTAGTGAAATATTTCCCCTGGTATAGCTGTTCTGATTGAATTTAGAACCATACTATAAGAATCTTCTTTTGTCATTGATAGGGCGGTCGAATCAACATGGATGCTCAATTAGATAACTTTGCAAACACTAGGCAAGACATTATATCCATGATTGGCGTTTCTGCAGCTCAAAATCTTTTCAGAAATTCTATCTTTTCAGTAGCCATGGGCTCAAATGATTTCATCAACAACTATTTAACACCTGTGTTATCAATTCCCGAAAGGAAGCTGGTGTCTCCAGAAATGTTTGTCTCCTCCATGACATCAAACTTCAGACGACAGCTCACTGTAATGTTGCTCAAAACCTTGGAAACTCTGCCATTTCCCATTAATATTGTCCACTGATAGAAATATGATTGGAATATTCAGTTTCCACCTCAAGGCTTCCCTTGTGACTGATACTAGTGTCCCACAGGACATGGCTCACGAGTTTCGTTTCATATATGTTGTTTTCTTCCTTGGATATAATTTTTCTGATACAAATGGATGTTAATTTGCAGCGGCTATTCAATCTGGGAGCCAGAAAAGTTGTTGTGGCAAATGTTGGGCCTATTGGGTGCATTCCATTTGAAAGGGATGCAAACCCAGATGCTGGAGATAATTGTGTCGCTTTCCCCAATCAGATGGCTCAGTTATTTAACACCCAATTGAAGAGCCTCGTTGCAGAACTCAACATGAACTTGAAAGGGTCATTATTTGTTTATGCAGATGTTTACCACATTTTAGAAGACATTCTGCAGAACTACAGAGCATATGGTGCGTTTGTTTGGTACTCTTCTCATTTCTCAAGCTATTTATTACTTGAACCTTTTGAATTAGGCCCTTTCTTTAACTTGTCTTCATCATTGAACAGGTTTTGAGAATCCAGATTCGTCATGCTGTCACATTGCCGGAAGATTTGGAGGCTTAATCCCTTGCTTTCCTAAATCAAAAGTGTGCGATGATCGTTCCAAGTATGTGTTCTGGGACGCTTTCCATCCTTCTGATGCTGCCAACACCGTCATAGCAAAACGTCTGTTAGATGGTGATGCTAATGACATGTCGCCCATGAATGTCCGGAAACTCATTGAAGTTTGATTTATTTTGGCCTTTATTGAATTGATTGATTGAATATTTTGAGCAAGATGGCATATTATATTTGGTATCAAAGCTAATAGGAAAAACAGATATCTGGGGCATATTGTTGTCTTCAATTCAATTTCTTCGCATATTGGATATGATGCTAAAGAACATTTTTCGGTATTAAAATACCTTGATATTTGGCACTGTCGTATTTCAAATGACAATTGAAAGTTGTTGAAAATGACGTAATTAACTCACTATAAGAGTTAATAGAATCTTAAAACTTAATGGAATTAGTTTTTGGGTGGAGAAGGATCATCTGAAATGAAAGCACTCTACTGGTCATGGTATTTTTTTTACAACTCATGACCTTATAGGCTATGAATCAACTCTTTATCAATTGAATTAACTGATGTTGGCTACAAGTTATAGTGTTTTGTATAGTATACACTTAGTATGATGAATATATTGATCCAAGGTCAAAAAAAAAAAAAAAGGAGAGAGAATTTATTGACCCCAGGCATAGTAAAACTATTTTTTCAACAGCCAGGATATTTAACATTATACCTACCGAAAACCTTATAATAAATTCATCAATACTGTACTCTGGCCCCCCCCACCCAAAAAAAAAAAGTAGTATATATCAGCAACATATACCTACCCCAAACCTCCGAATAAATTTAATGTGGCTAAGCACCATACTATTACTATCCTTTGTGCCACCGTTGGCTTCCTGCATGTGTCTGTGTTGATCTTTAATTTTCCAGCAATAAAGAATGGGGGCCGGGTAGGTGAATGGTGATAATGGTTAATACTACCACCATCCTTAAAATACCCTTATTAGTAATGTTTATTAACTAAAATTACTATTTGATTAAATTTTTGGTGTGTGCAACTACTACAATAACTATATTAAAAAATAAATAAATATTATAGACAAAGTGAATTGAAGCCTTACATTTAAAATAAAATTAAATATCAAACTAATTTTTATATATAAGAACGGGGCATATTATATATAGTTTCTAACATCTCTCCAGGCTCCTACGGTTGGATCATTTTGAGAAAGAAAAATGTTGAGTGGTTGCTTCATTGCAAAGGATGGTGTGCGTGCAACATGTTAAATATAACTCAGCCAACCTTTGCTTAATATTACTCATCATTTAAATGCTTTTAAAGTTTCAATATTCAACTTCAGTATTTTCGGTACACATTTTTAATGTTTTTGGTATTAAAATGAAAATATTAATACTGAAAACATAAAATATAAGATTAAAAATATATAAATGAATAATTTTTAATTAAAAGTTATTTTTTTTTTGGGAAAAAATAACATTGGAAATGTCACAGATGCATTTAGGTTCTCAAGTGTGACTTGTCCTAAATAATATGGCCCTACAAATTAATTGGTAGATCAGCGGTCTCATCAGATTGGGTTCCAGTGGGCCAGCGGTCTCATCATGTTCGAATTTAATTTAAGGGATAATTAATCCACAGCTCCTTATAGTTTCAATTAATTTTGAATCAAGTCCTTATAGTTTTTTTTCTTTTTATCAGGTCCTTATACTTTCACCTGTTTTTAATTAGGTCCTTGTATTATTTTTCTTTTTATCAAGTCCTTATAAGTTCACCTTATTTTTAATTAAGTCCCTGAATTTTTTATTTTTTATTTTATAAATTCTAATAGTACTATTATATAAACATAAAATAGTATATATTATTTAATATTAGTTTATAAACAATAATATTCTAGAGATATTGAATTATTATAATGATTTTAATTTTTTCAGCAAAAAAATTAATACACTAAAGAATTTTCTTGAATTAATTAATTCTATTACTTTTTTATTACATAATTATTAATTTAATTTAATTATTAATATTTTATATTTCAGTATTAATCTATTTAATTAAGTTTATATTTAATTAATAAATAAAAATTAAAACTACATGGACTTGATTAAAAATTTAGTGAAATTATAAGGACTTAATTAAAAGAAAAATAAATAGAAGGACCTAATTAAAAAAAGGTAAAAGTATAAGGACCTGATAAAAAGAAAAAAAACTATAGGGACCTGATTCAAAATTTGTTAAAACTATAAGGACTTGCAGATTAATTAACCCTTAATTTAATGGTCTAGTTGCCAAGTACATTTATTTTTACAGCTTAGAATATCTCAAATTACTTTCAGCTGAAAACTAATCTTTATTAAATTAAAAATATTAAGATTAAATTTTTTTTAATAAATACGCTTTTGAGAATTCAAACCTACGTTTTTTTCTTTACAGGATGAGACTACTTACCATCTCAATTAAAAACTTATTGATTATTTGCCAATGAGACTTAAGTAGGCGATTGGGGGCGGTATTTTTTTTTTCCAAGTTAACAATTTATGAAAAAATATATTTAAACCTTTTGGAGTTGGAATTGGCAGCCTAATGTGAAGCAAAAAATGTAAGGAGGTGACACCCAAGGACTTTCTAAGAGCATATCGACCAAAACTCTCCAGCAACCAATTCAATCATGCCACCGTTAGGGTCAAAAAGGTTTATATACATTACTTCTAAAGTTAAATGAATTGAACTAATGAAAATATAAATTCAAAGTTTATCAACTTAATTATAATGAATGGTCTTAATTAAATTAATACATTCAAATTTTGCATATAAAAAATATTACTAAAGATATTTTTTTACGTTTCTTAATAAAGTTTTATATGTTTTTAAATAAAGTTTTATCAATTTTGATCGATTTTATATGTTGTTAAACAATTTTCAATTGGGCAATTTTGGACGGGAATAAAATCCAGATCACCAATTGAATCGAAAATAATAATTAAATTAAACAACCTCGCCTAATCAATTTATTTTGAATAAATGAGTTAAAACAATATAATTTAATTAACCGAGATACTAGAAATAATTAATGAAAATTAACTAATTTAGCTTAATGTGAATTATATGAGTTTTTCTCACCTTAACAAGTGATTGAAAATAGGCTTCTAAAATCTGAAAAAGGTGCAAAATGACCAAATTGTGTTAATGGCTTAATGCCTCCTTTCAGACTCCAATTCTATAGTTTGGTTTGGTCGGGTCCATTTTGATGTTACAATTTTCCCCTTGCAAACTATTGCATTTGGTTAATTTAATTCTAAATATAATATTTCTATTTATTTTGTTTTTTATATTTATTTACTTATTTTTCAAATAGTTTTTATAGTAATTACATATAGTAAAGGGTTTTTATTCTAATACATATGATTAATAAGAATATTTTAGAAAAAACAATACTAATTTATTACAAATAACTAACTTAACTAATTTTTTTTAATATTTAAAAATTAGTTATCTAATTTTTATATTAAGGACGATATAGTATTTGTTAAAGAAGTTTAATTAACTACATAATGTAGTAAGCAAAATTATGATCATATATGTATAACTAACATAAAATAAACATTTCAACATATATATTCACATAATCACAACAAATATTTACCTTCATTTTTCAAAATTGTGCTAATCGATCTATGCTTTATGGCATAAAAATAATCAATTAGCATGCCCCTGATAAACTGTTCAACCATCCCTTTCTCAATGTAAACAACCATTAAATTAATGAGAAATTCATCTTTCCTTTTATTACAAATCATCGTCTTTATTATTTTCGTAGCTGAAAAAGCGTGATTAATGGTTCTTGTTGCTGCTAGCTAAAAGAGTCAATACAAGCAATTATCGGAAAAGAGTCAAATCAAGCAATAGTAATTTGTCAATCAAAATTTATTACCCGACAATACCTTAAATATAATTGTTTTCAACAGAAAGATGTTTAAGCGTAGCAAAAAATAAAATTGTTAATCAAAAGATGAAAATTTTACCTTTTTTTGTACTTCTACAAATTTTTAACAAAAATCACCCATAATAGTCGCGTTTTGAAAATTTAGATCTTTGGACACATAAAGCTGATGATGATATTATATTTCAATCAATTTTTTCAGTCAGAAAAATCAATTGAGTAAAATTTTTCAACAAAATTGGAAATTTGTATATAAAATGAGACCAAGTGTAACACATTCATATAATTTAAACTGTACCCAACACATCAGGTAAAAAAAAAAAAAAAAAACTGTACCCAACACAAAGCTTGGTTGTTTTTTAATTAATAGATAACATATTTTTACGGCCAAAAATAGTTTTTTTCTTTTCCGAATATTATTTTATGTTGCTAATAACAAAAATTTTAAAAGCAGGGTCCTTGGTCCCCCGTCTCCCCCAATGGTTGAAAGTAGGGTTATCCTACGTCTTTTCAATCTTCCATATATAGACTCACACACCGTTCCCTTGATTAGCTTCTTGAAAGCTAAGTCGTCAGAGAAAAACCAAAAACACAGGCCTCCTTCTTGAAACGTTGAGTATATATATATATTGAGCCTCTATGATATATATATGACGCTGTCGTTTCTGATGATGCTCAATAATGGTCTTAAAAAGCCACTCAATTTTTGGGTTACATTGCAATTTTTGACAGCTTCTCTCTTGTTTATCAGGGTTTGCTTCTCAAATAATGTTACTGCATTTTTTGTGTTTGGAGACTGGTAATAACAACTACATTGTTTCACTCGCCAAGGCTAACTTCGTACCCAGTGGAATTGACTTTGGAGAGCCATCAGGACGATTCACTAATGGAAGAACCGTAGCAGATATCACAGGCAAGATTTATATATATTTAGTTCCTTCTAAACCAATATTTTGCTCTTAACCACGAGACAGTTGCACTCAGCTGTTCCTTAATCATCTAGTTAGGGGTTTGATTCTTGGCTGTCTGTATAGAAGGGGTCTCATGACCAGCACCAAAATCCCTTCGAGAAGTCTACGGTGCGAAGAGATTATTAGTTACTGTTATTAGCAGTAGACACTCTAGGCTTAACCAGAAAAATATATACTACCTCCGGTCTTTAATACAAGACCTCGTTTGATTTTTATTTTGGTCCTAAATATAGACCTTAATCCATTTTTTCTCTAATATTTACTCCTCTAGTCCTATTTATAAGGCTGAGAGAGAAGACATATTTGGGTCCTATTTATAGGGCACTGAGAGAAATTTTTTGTATGGATGTACAATTTTACCCCTAATTTATTATTGTGTTGACTTTGTTTACATGAGGTATAATGTATATTAAATAGGGATAAAGTTGAAAAGATATTAAATTTTAAATGAGAGTTAATGAAGTTTAAGATTTTTCTTGATCTATGTGAAACGTGTTGAAAGTGTCTTATAAATAGGACAAGAGGAATATGCATTTTTTCCAAGATAGTCATTCTAATAATGATAGTTCTAGTCAATACATCTGATTAGCAAAGATATTTTGGAAAAGACAACACCTATTTATTACAAATAACTAACTCAATTTCTTTCATTAATCTTCTTAAATTAGTCAACTAGCTCTTATAATTAGAACCAAAGGTAGTATATATGTTGCCCTCTTTAATTAATTGGAACTAGCAAATTCATAAACCATTTCTCTTTTCTCTTAACGTTCAGCCAATTAATGTTTTTTTTCCTTTTAATTTCTTCTCATTATTACCGAAGCATTAATGTTCTTGTACGTACCTTGAATATATAAAGTCTTAATTAACGTGTGTGTGTTGGTAATTTGGAACATATAGGCTTTGAGAATTCGGATTCCACATGTTGTCGCCTGGTGGGACGATTCGGAGGCTTGGCTCCTTGCCTTCCTAAATCTGAAGTTTATGAGGATCGTCCCAAGTTTGTGCTCTGGGATGCATACCATCCTTCAGAGGCAGCCAATATGATTATAGCAAAACGTCTCTTTGATGGTGATGCCAACGATAATTCGCCTATCAATATTCGGAAGCTTTCTGAAGTTTGATTTGATTGATACTAGTTCTGGTCCTATTTATAAGACCTCACTTGTAGACTATAAACGAGATTTTACAAATAGAACCGGAGCTAATATATATTTGGACTTCTGTTGAGTTGAAATATTTTGAGTAATAATTAAGATGTCATATTTTATATTTAGAATAATCGATCAAAGCTTATAGATGCACAAAGATAGTATTGTTCTTTTCTTTTTGGTGAAAAGATAATATTGTTCTTTAATTTGCAGTTATGTGGTATAGTGTTACGTTTTTGTCTTGTGTTTGTTGATGTTTTGGATATTATGCTAGTAATATATACTCCCTCCCCACCCTAAGTTGAATATAGGCATATTAAATGTCTTTTGCATCCCCACACACATCATTATCAAGGCAATAAATTAATCTCTCTAAACACCGCTCCATCATCATCATTGTCCTCATAATAATGTAACTTGGATTGTGTTTTTCTGACATGTATTTTCATTAACATTATATTGTTACCGTGCATATATATGACAGCTGAATGGTGCTAGCACGCTATAAGAGTTGATAGAGTTAAAACTTCGAAAAACAAGATGAGTTTTGTTATTGGAGATCGATAATCCTATTAGCACACTATAAGAGTTGAAAGCTGCTAGCATTGATTTCATAATTGAAAATAGGTTTATAAATAGATGTACTACCTACTCTATTTAATATAAAAGCTAGTTGATTAATTTGAATAGATTAAAAAAAAATAGTTAAGTTAGTTATTCGTAATAAATATGTGTTATATTTCCTAAAATATTTTTACTAATAAAATACATTAGTCAGAACTACCTACCATTATTATAAGAATTACCTTGAAAAAAAGAGAGATAAATATTAGAGACAAAGTGAATTAGAGTCCTATTTAAGACCAAAATAAAAATCAAATGAGCTCTTATATTAAAATAAAAATAATATTATTTTATTAGAGACAATTATGTTGAAAATACTATTGTTTGTTACAGGGAACAAGTCTATTTTACTTTTTTTGACCAAAACAAGTCTATTTTTTTTTGGATTACTCCATCCGGTATCCCAGGGAAATAGGCGTCTTTCAGCCGTGACAACGTCCCCAGACTAATCCGGATTCGGGGGCTTGCAAGGATCCATACGGACGGCGCCCCCTGGCCCCTTGGAGTGCTGCGTTCCCACGTCTTGAATCCGAGATCCGTGGTTAAGCTAGATCGACCCCAGCCAGTCGACTTAATCCCGCGGGGTTAGAACAAGTCTATTTTACTAGATCTAAAAGTGGTTGATAATAAAATGAAGTTTTCAATACTTGAAAACAGTGCGGAATGGCTTTTTTTGACTAAGAATGTCCAAAGTATCACAAACGAGCTGGGTAAAGTGGGTCACACATAATTCATCGCTATGAGCTGTCACTGCACGCATTTATTAGCGGGAAGGACTGGGAATGTAGGGGCTGGGAGGATGGAGGAGGTGGGGGTCCACTATGCCTCTGTCTCAGAAAACATGATGCAATCGATTTAAGAAAAAGTATTTTCCAAAAAAAAAGGGCATATATTCAGCCTAACAAATGAAAAGTAATAAAGAAAATTTGAATGAATTTTCAGTATTTTAGTGAATTTTTCTCACAACATAGCGCTTTTTCAAATTATTGAGATCCCAAACTGAATGTAAGCAACTTTCCCGGTAAGAATTTTGAATCTTTTTTTACATATTTATTTCATTGGTGCAAAATGACTTAAAATAAGTCAAACCAAACATCATGTTTAGCAGCACAGGCCTCTTGTGGTGGAGGTGTCATTATAAATCAAATTGGACAAATTTCGCAAGTGTTTATATTAGGACCAAATTAAATAACTTGAAGCTCTGAACTTAAGTACTACCTCCGGTCCTTAATATAAGACCTTATTTGACTTTTAGTTTGGTCCTAATTATAAGACCCCAATCCATTTTGTCTCTCATATTTATACATTTTTTTCAAGATAATCCTTCTAATGATGATAGTTCTAGCCAATGCATTTAATTAGCAAGGATATTTTAGGAATGACAATACTTATTTATTACAAATAACTAACTTAACTTACTTTCTTAATCTCCTCAAATTAGTCAACTAGGTCTTATAATTAAGACCGGAGGTAGTATAATACTACTCCAGTCATAAATATAAAACCCCTTTCATAGTATAATTTACACTATAAAAGAGGTCTTATATTTAAGACAAGAGGAATATATATTTAGTTATCCTATCAAACTGGACCATACACATAGTGTAAGAATGTGACGTTGTTGTGGGATGGGTTAGTGGCCCCTCACACAATTCATGACCATGAACAATTACGTTTCTGCAGCTAATGTTCCAACAAACTAAGACGCTATCCTGTTAATTTTATCTTATATAGATTTTACATCATATATAAAAGAAAATAGAAATGAAATATGGTAATTACAGGCCTACATTGAACCTTGATCAATTAATAAATGTGGTTTCGGATTTTTTTTAATTACTTTTTTCACACACACACACACACACCTGTGGAAGGGATGGCAACATGATTCCAAATAAGGGTTTCGTAATATATATACTCAGGCATCCTTGTGGACTTAAAGGGTTAGCCAAAGGTTTCACTTTCTTTATTAATGTTGTTTTCTTTCTAATTTTACATTATTCACATTGATAACTATATATATTTAAAAAAAAAAAGAAGAAAGAAAGAAAATCGGAATCGATTATTTCGCACATGTCAACTTCCATGCATGCATGTGTGGTATTTTAGTGAAATTTTTCTACAGCATAGCATTTTAATTAGTTCGTTTTAACACAGTACAATATATATGGATCAAAAAGTGTAAGTAATGATAAATCATTATATATACTACATTTAATCTTTAATATAAAAGCTCGTTTGACTTTTATTTTGATTTTAAATATAAGACCCTAATACACTTTTTCTCTCATATTTATCCTCTTTTTTTTTAAGGTAATCTTTGCAATAATGATAATTCTAACCAATACACTTAATTAGTAAAAATATTTTATAAAGATATTTTACGAAAAGCAATATTTATTTATTACAAATAAATAACTTAACTAGTTTTTTTAATCTACTCAAACTCTCATATTAAGGACCGGAGGTAGTATATGATATTTGAAGCGTGCATGCGATGACATATACTGCCTCCGGTCTTATTTATAATTAGGATCAGAGGTGGTGTATATATGTATATATGGATCAAAAAGTGTAACTAATGATAAATCGTTATATGATATTTGAAGTGTGCATGCGATGATATATAGGTTGTGTCATTTTATGCGGTTAAGGCAAGTGTAGGTGAGATATTAACGAAAGGCCACCGTTAACATTCACCTATTACTCCCCCAATTACTTCTCTAACGTAACACATCTTCGCATCGCCTTATATATATATATATATATATATATATATATAGCCAGCCCCCTCCCCCTTCACAGCAGAACAAGAAACACAGGCCACTTCTGATTTCCATTGAGGTTCTATGACGACGTCGTTTCTGATGCTCAGTGCAGATTTGAGGAAGCCCCTCATTTTTGGGGTTACAGCTGTTTATGTCTTGTTTGGGGTTTGCTTATCAAATAAGGTTCCTGCATTTTTTGTGTTTGGAGACTCGCTGGTCGATCCAGGTAACAACAACTACATTGTTTCAATCGCCAAGGCAAACTACGTCCCCAATGGAATTGACTTTGGAGGCCCATCAGGACGTTTCACCAATGGAAGAACCATTGCAGATGTCATAGGCAAGATATATATATATATATATATATATATGCATATATATAGTTTCTTTCATTCTGTTTCTTTTAAACTACCAATAACTGTTTGTCTTTTTCTCTCGCAAGGGCAAGAACTGGGACTTAATTTCACTCCTCCTTACATGGCTCCCACTACAGCAGCATCTTCGATTCTTCAGGGAGTCAATTATGCTTCCGCTGGAAGTGGCATTTTAAATCTAACTGGACTAATGTGGGTAAGTTCATGTGTTAATTACTATCTATATTCTGGTATACACAGCTGTTTTAAGTGAATTTAACACCACACATATAGTGTAAGAATGTCTATTTGTGATTCATATATAGGTTGGTCGAATCAACATGGATGCTCAGATAGCCAACTTCGAAAAGACTCGGCAAGACATTATTTCCATGATCGGTGTTTCTGCAACACAAGATCTATTGAAAAAAGCCATCTTTATGACATGTTTGGGATCAAATGATTTCCTCAGCAACTATATAGCACCCATAATAACCAGTACTGCTGAGAGGGAGCTGATATCTCCGGAAGCGTTTGTGGCCTCCATGACATCAACCTTCAGACAACAGCTCACTGTATTAATCATTTTTGCTCAGAAACCTTAAAAAGTGTCATATGTCATCATCATGTCGTAATGTTTCTTAACAATTGTTGGTTTGATATGAATTCGCAGCGACTGTACAATCTGGGAGCCAGAAAATTTATGGTGGCAAACGTGGGGCCTATTGGGTGCATACCAAGTCAGAGAGATTTAAACCCAAGTGCTGGAGAAGAGTGCGTGAGTTTCCCAGATAAGCTGGCTCAGTCATTTAACGTTGAACTGAAGAAGCTCGTTGTGGAACTGAATAAGAAGTTGAAAGGATCAATATATGTTCATGCAGATGCTTACCACATCGCACAAGACATTCTGCAGAACTACAAGGCATATGGTACGTACGTACGTATGTCTGTGTCTGATTCGAGTATTTGAGCTGTGATCTTAATCCATCTGGGAATTAATGAACAGGCTTTGAGAATTTCAAGTCGTCATGCTGTCACATGGCTGGAAGATTTGGGGGGCTGGTACCTTGCTTTCCAGAATCAACAGTTTGCGAGGATCGTTCCAAGTATGTGTTTTGGGACCCTTTCCATCCTTCTGAGGCAGCTAATTTGGTTATAGCAAAACGTCTCTTTGATGGTGACGCTAACGACGTGTGGCCCATGAATGTTCGCAAACTCTCTCAAGTTTAGAGTAATAAGATGGCTTCTAGTATCAAATCTTTATCGCTTCATCACAATGATAATTGTGCTTGATTTGTGGTTATTTGGTGACATTTTGGATATAATATATCATATGTCAAAAAGTTATATGAAAGTGCTCTTCCGTTTTAAAATATAAACTTAAACTATGTTTATTAAGAAACTAATTAAAATCAATTTAAAACAGTAAATATGTAAGGTATATATTTGTTTTTTTGTAATATATTCTTATTAGTGAAGAGAATAAGTAAAAGATGTAATAAATGAATTAAAGAGGAAAGAGAATATATAGGGGTCAAATTAGAAACACCTCATTAAATGTTTGAATAAAAGTGAATGTTATCTTATATAAAAAAAATAATTCCTTAAAAAAAAATTTAGCTTATATTTTAAACCGGAGGAATATATTTTAAATATCGTGAAAAGCACACTAGCGAAGTAGGAAAACAAAATAGCCAAATTAGTACTCAGCTACGCTCTGCTCTTGCTCGCCAGAACAGAGGACCTGAAACAACGCGCGCACATCATCAGCAGAATATAATTACTTTCATTCGGATTTACAAAATACATATTTAATCAAATGAAATTTAGAAACCAAGTTATACTATTTGTAATTTATGACTAACATGATTTGTTACTGCAAAAATAAAGATAAAAACGTTTAGTTTCACAATAATAATCCATCTGTTTTAATTAATGAGATATTTTTTGGGTTGGTTTAATTTTTTTAAATGAAAATAAAGGTTGGTTTTAATCCTTAATATAAGAGCTACCTAATTAATTTATATATATTAAAAAAATTAAAAAAATAATTTAATTATAAAAAATATATTTTGATGTTCCTAAAATACAATTATATGACATTAAATCATATAAAAATTTATAAAATATGTAAATTAGTTAAAAAAATAACAACTATGAGAAATAATTTAGATTGAGATAGAGATTAAAGGGTAAAATGTTTTGAAGAAAACAACATTTCATTAACGCCCTTATTCCAAAAATATCTCTATTATTATTTTTAATAAAAACAATACTTAAATTAAATAAAAAGATATAATATAATAAAACCCCGTTTTAGGAAACAGAAGCCTTAAAATTAAGAGAGAGAAAAATTATCTCAAGCACATAAATATAAGTTGGAAAAAGTACTATTAATCAAAACGAGAAGATCTGCTGCTATAGAATTTGATTATGAGTTAGGCGTGAATGAAGGGCAAATTAATTAGGAGCTAGCTATGGCCTATGAATGAAGGTCATTTTTTTAAATTTTATATTTTTTTAAAAAATAAAATTTTTAACTTCATTTAATGAGATTTATTGGTATGGGCAAGCTACTGAAAAAAATGTCTTATAAATTAGTAAAATGAAAGAATTAATTATTCTTTGACTTAAAATTAAATTATTTAAATTTATTAAACAATTAATTTAAACTACGTGATTGGCCAAAAAAAACAATTTAAACTAGATGTATTTTTACGCTACGAAAATTGAAGGGATAAAGATCAGCCTTATGCCAACTTTGTCTCCTCTTTTTTTTTTTTTTTTAATGAAAAGACAAAATGATTAATATTAAACAATAATAAGAGTCTACAAAGTATAGTTAATAACCGGGAATAAGTAGTGAGAAAATGAGAAAAAAGCCTATAATCATTACAAATAAAAGCATCCACTTTAGGAAGCAAAAGCAGGAGCTGTTTGATTTCATTGAGCATATAAAAACGTGTAAGATCAACACTTTGCTTCTTGAAACAAATCAATTGGAGTTCAGAGGCATCTGTAAACATAGCTTTGCCCGTATTCAACACCCAGAACAAGATGTTCCTTAAACACAAACTGTTGAAGCTTTATGGGTCTACAAAGCTTTATGGATTGGAATACCTTGGTGTAGCATGATGCCTTGCAATGAAGTTTTCTTAACTTCATTTTGAGTTTCCTTTTGAGTAATAATACAGCCCACCCTTTACTCCCATGAGAGACATCATTGGTAATTGTTAAGGTCATTTGGTTCCTCTTTCTAGTTAGCTGATGAGATGTAAAAGCCATATCAAAGTATAAAAGCCAGCTGTGAATTTCTTTTATCACTTTCGTTGGATGACCAATTTTTCCTTAATGCAGTGCTAGATTACGTTTCCACCATATCACATTCATCAAAACCATCCTTTCAAAGGAAAGTCGAGTTTATCCTGTAAGAGCTACAACATGAATGATTTCAACCAAAGCAAAAATGAGTCAAAACTTTCCACCTCTAGTCTAATTGAGAGACATCCATACCAAATAGCTCAAACATATGGGTAGAGAATGAACAAATGTTCCAAAGTTTTTTGGCGGTTACAACCAAAAACACAAAGCATATTAGAAGGAATATGATTTAGGTTCAACACGTCCCCAGAGGGAATTGATTTATTAACAAGATTCCAAATGAAAAGCAGTGATTTCATTGGAAGAGAAAGGAACTAGAGAAATTTCCCGAACCCATCACCACTACCACTCAACTGGAGCACATTGTGATGCATTTCTTGAATCCATCATCTGTTTTATAAGAGCCAGAGCTATTAATAGTCGATCAAAAAGAGTCATACATAGACTGAAATAAAATAGGAGTTGAGGAAATCTTGCACAAGGTATTTTCAAAGTATAGAGTCTTAAGTAGAGGAAGGTTCCATTGGTGAGGATTCCTGTTAAAAGGAGTATGCAGTATGAGATCCTTGACCTTAAGCAAGTTGAATACTAAAGTAGATCCTGATTACGTTGGCCACTGAAGATGGTGATTAAGGGGAATTTACGAGTCAAAAGAGATGTTCCACTGAAGGTTATCCACTACAAGACTCGAACCTTTCCATATCCATGAAGCATTGTAAGGTTTCTAGCTCCTTTTGATAGAGATCCACATATTTAGCCTTCAACGTTAAAGCAAGCAAGTTAGGTGGTTCCACAGAGAGGATGCTATACCTGTTTAGCCAGTGGTGACTAGTTGACACATTTTGCAGGCCTTATTCCCAAGCCACCATAATCCACAAGCTGGAAGAGGAAATTCTTGTTTTTAAATTGGAAGTGATTTTTGTCCACAGTTGTTCCCCGAAAAAAAAATTAGGGTAGAGACTATCTAGTTTATCACAAACATGCTGTGGCAATTTGATGCAAGCGAGAACATGCAGATTAGCTGCTGAAAGTACTGTTTTGACAAGGGTGAGTCTAGAAGCTTGAGAAAGTAATCTAATTTGTCATGATGCCGTCCTTCTTTGGATTGCCTCAATAACCTAATCATAAATGAGTTTTTTGCTTCGTCTTGGATCAATTCAGGTGCCCAAGTATTTGCCCAACCTAGAAGTAAAATGAATGCCCAGAGTCTATAAAAAGGCACGCTTACTTTGATGATTAACGTTGGGTCTAAACACCAAATAGATTTAGAATAATTGATTACTTGGTATGACCAACAGCAATATGTATCAAGAGCAAATTTAATAGCTACAATGCTCTAATAAGATCCCTCAGAAAAGAATAAGGAGTCATCTGCATAAAAAAGATGAGAAATTACTAAAGCTTTTTGGCAGATTTTGATACCTCTCCACTGATCAGCCTTTTGTAATTGTGTGACCAAGCAAGATAAGATATTGGTAGAGAGAATGTATAAATAAGGAGAGAGAATATCCCTTTGACGAACTCCCCTTTGAGGGTAAGTGGCCTTAGTGAGTTGACCATTGATTAAGATCTGATAATGGATAGTTGAAATACATTGATAGACTAAATTAGGCTACTTCTTAGGAAACCCCATTTGTTGTATTGTGGCTATGACGAAATTCTAAGATAGTCTATCAAAAGCCTTGGAAAAGTCAACTTTGAGAGCACCCAATTTTTTCCTCCCCCTGCTGGAATTGTGCATTTGATTCATCATGTCTGCAACCAACATAATATTGTCAGATATGAGCCTCCATTTTAAGGAAGCACTTTGAAAGGGAGTAATACAGCTTTGTAGAATTTCTGTCAGCTGGTTGCAAAGAACCTTTGCACAAATCTAGTAGGACACATTACAAAGACTGATAGGTTTGAAATCCTTGAGAGTTTGAGGGCTATTAGATTTAGGGATTAGAACAATATTAGTCTTATTCATTGACTTCAACAGATGTTCTGTATTCTAGAAGGAGATCACCATATCATAAATATCACATTTGATCAACTCCCAATGTTTTTGAAAAAATCAGCATGAAAACCTTTTAGGCTTAGTGCACTATCACTTGGCAAATCAAAGACTGCATTTTGAACTTCCTTGAAAGTAATTTGTTTCATTAATAAATTAGTTTTTTGCACACTGAGAGAAGGGGCATCAATTTGTAACAAATTAGAGTGAATTTGCTTAACTGAAAGGACATCTATCTTACAATAAATCTCACGAAAGTGGTGAGAAGTCATGTTGGCAATTTTCTGTAGATCCTCAGTCTGAGAACCATCACTTTTCTTTAAAGTGTGAGTGAGATTTTTAGCTCTACACTGACTAGCAGTAGCACAAAAATATTTAAAATGTTCCTTTCACCCTCTATGTGCCATTTTAGTTTAGCCCTTTGTGCCCAAAAACTAGATTCACATTCATATAAAAATTCTAACTTGTGTTTGGCAAAAGAGAAATCTTCTAGAAGGCATTTATCACTAACACTAGCATCGAGTTTAAAAGACGAAGATTGCAATTCCTTGTCTGCTTGACTAATGCGGGTTGATAAGTTCCCAATATGGAGTTTGTTCCAAGAAAAAAGTGTTGAGAGGGTTCTCTACAACTTACAAGTTAAGGAGAAGCTAGGCGGTCCTCGAACCTCATGAGTCCAGCTCTCCTAAATGATCCGTTCACATTCTAAAAAGTGATACCAAAAGGATTCAAATCGCTTAAATTTAGCTCACCTTATTGATTGATCTATCCTAAGCAATATCGGGTTATGATCAAAGGCGGCAATAGTCAAATTCTGCATCAACGATCCTGGCAAATGAGATAGCCATTCAAA